CATGTTGGATCCTTCATATGTTATTGTATACGCATTCATGAGCAAGCCAAACACAAAATTCAGGATAATATCAAACCTTCATTTCTGGCATCCACGGAGGGTCTTGAAACATATCCATTATGGCAATCACAGCAATTTGGGATTCTGATGTAGGAGGATCACAAGTTCAAGGCCAGTGCAGGAAACGCTATTAGCAAGACACTTCGCCGTAGCACCTCCTACTTCGGTTTGTGGGAAGTATCACCCTCTCATTTGATCTTTAACATGATGGTTATCAACAAAGAGCATTATTTTTTTATAGATTACTATAGTTCATATACTTGTTAAATTTCTAGGATTATTGCTGGTCAACATCTTTCTGTATTAAAATTTAATTTTGTAGCATACTGAAATTTTGCAATTCATAGCCAAAGCTCAACGTGTGGGTGGGAAGACAAATATATTTATGTAGCATGATAGAATTAAGAAAGTACTTTAAATGTCTTTAATTATGTTTGTCTTTACCATAACTTTGTGTGATTATTATTGTCCATAATTGTTTTAACATGTAGAACTAAAGTACATTTCTTTGTCATTAAGCTTTTTTTTTGAGTTTTTTGTTTTGAGGCTAGGGATACCAGGGATTGAACCCAGAGGTGCTTTACCACTGAGTCACATCCCCAGCCCTTTGTATTTTGAAACAGAGTCTCACTAAGTTGCTTAAGGCCTCAGTAAGTTGCTGTGGCTGGCTTCCAACTTGCAGTCCTCCTGCCTTAGCCTCTCCAGTAGCTGGGATTACAAGTGTGTGTCACCATGCTTGGTGAAAATGTGAGTCTTGTATCCAGTCTTCTGACTTTCTCCCTGTTGATCTGTTTATACTGATAGGTAGTTTCCTAAAAAATAGTATCCGTGTTGGGTGTTAATGTATATTGAGGAACTTGACCAAATCACAATATAAGACTGAATTCCAGTTTAGGGGAGGAATTTCAATGTGTTTTTAACTCTTTTTCCTTTACATTAGCTTGAATACACCACCTGGAACTAAGGTTATGCCCTTAGGCATTGTTGACAAGTCTTCAACACCACAATTCTTGATGGTGAAGATGGAATACCTTATTGAGAAACGGGAGTTAGAGAGTGTGAGTGTAAACTAATGGCTTGAAAAATACTACACTCTATTGCATTCTCTTATTTTAAAGCAATCTTCCCATAATGAGTAGTAAAATTAGTCCTTTGTATCAGAGGAGTAGAATAGAGAACTGTCTACCTTTGTCCAAGCATATTCTTCTTCTAGAGCAGATGTAAGTTTTAAGTATCCATTACATTTTAYTACATTTTTTTWAAAAAAATCCTCTTTACTGACAAGTAGCAAAATTTCCAATATACAAGTTATGAGCTATATATAATGGATTTGTTCATAATTCTTTCTGTTAAAAAACAAGTGTTTATGCATATACTTGTGTATGGATATAATGTATATACATATATTTGTTTTATATACATACACATAAGCATGCAAGTGAAAGCAAGTTAGAATTTCACTATAATGATGTTCTTGTTGTACTTCACTTCCTAGTTGCATTAGTTGAGGTTTTTCCCCATTTGTATCTGCATATCTTCATTTTGCTACTCCTGTTGATTATCTTGTCATTGTTCCTCTACTTTGCTTCCAGAAACTAATTCTGTTGGTCCACTGCAGTCAAACTGTGTATTATTTCCTTGCTCTCCAGTTCCATTGCTCTTCTTGTGGGTTAGATCTTTAGTATCTCTTGCCTGGACTATTGCAATAGCCATTTAACTCTCTCCTTTCTCCATTTTGTAATTTATTTTCTGCACTCTGCCAGATTATTTTCCTTTAGTGTCATACACTGCTTCTATTTCAAATACCCTAATTTCAATTTCAAGGGCATTCAAAATCTAGTCCTAGTTACATTTTACCTGTTCAACTTTCTAAATTCTTTTTCACAGTCAAATGGAAAGGTTTACTCTTTTCTTTGATTGCCTAAGCTTTTTTCAGTTATACTTTTGGGTAAAAATGATTTCCCCACTTGTATGCCATTCATCTTGATTTCTCTGTCTTAATCCTGAATGGCCAAATGATCCCCATAATTTTAGACTCAGAACAAATGCTTGCTTCTTCACAAAGTGAGGTAGTGTTTCCTTTATTGAATTTTTGAAACATGTTAAAAGTGTATTACTTTTTACCTTGCACCCAAATTATTTTACTTTTTATATCTTTTAATAGATTATGACCACGAGGTCAGAATTTGTGTTTGTTTCATCTTTGTTTATTTCTACGAATGTTTGTTGAGCACTATATTGATGTGGTGCTGCACTCTTGCATCTGTATCTCTTGTGATCTTACTAGTAGTCTTATAAAGGGGCATTATGACCACATAGATCAGAAAATTTACTTTTAGAACTATTAAATAACTTGATGATTCGACAACTAATAGGTGAGTGATGTATGTGAGCAGAATCCAGGAGTGATTTTTTTTTCCCATTATGTCACAGTAGTCTTCTGTCGGGGTTTTTAGCCCCTGTTCCCTCCTGACCTGTGGGAGAGATTGCGGGAGCATGCCCCGACCAGGACAAACCAAGAAAGGTAAAGGTCAACTGGCCACCCTCACCCAGCCCTACCTCGAAGGAGGACAATCAGAGGAGCCAGGGAGAACAGTCAAAACACACACCGCTAATATAATGTACAGGAGCCAATCAGGGTAAAGGTCAGCAGGGTGGGGAGAATTTACATCTACACCCATCCTACAGGCAGTAATGGGAGACACGAGCTGAGCTGTCCGTGAGGGCAGAAGGATTCTGAGCCTATGCTAGAGGTGGTCCCATTCTTCATCACAACCTACGGTAATGCCTTCTGGCTAATCGCTAGGTGCTCTCTTAGCCACATGTGGCCCCAGGACTGGGAAGCGGGTAGCAGCCAGCACGTTAATTTTTCTCTTTTCTGATGCAACAAGCCCCACGTTACATCATGCCCTACAGTCTTCTATCTCTGAGACTTAAATGTAATAAATATCATAGTGGAAAGAATGAATTGTAAAATATGTAAAGCTAATTACTCTTTATTAAAATTGATGTTCTCATGCTACCATCAAATGTTGCCTGTTGACTAAAGCCAGCCAAGAGCCTAATAATGTTTCAGGCTTTTGGTACTTTATGTTACTCTGTACCACTTTCTTAGTTGGAAAGTACCTATGTTTTGGAGGTAAAGAGATAAGGAGATTTGGGCACATTTTTATTTCTTAATACTCATTTTTTATGATATTAATGTGTTGCATTTTGGGATACTGCACCATGTGATACCAGATAAGTTTCCACAATTGCATTTTTTAATTGAAAGTGTCACAAAAGAAAGTAATTCACATGTGATTTAATATTTTTCCATAATCAGCCAAGTGTATGAACTTGGAATTTCCTAGAAAAGTACCACCAATTTCATTTGATCCTTTCACAAGTTTATATTGTATTTTTATTATCATTAGAGACTTTTAAAAGTGTGGTAAATGTTCTTAAGTTAGATCAACATCTTATATAATTTTCTCACAGCCTGGTCAGAACAACTTCACTAACAACCATTAAGTCAGTTAAACATTTGTAAAAATCTCCTCACCCTCAATGCAGATACATATATATAGACAGATAGACAGATACACACACACATACACACACAATGTAGTAGTAGTTAGATAGGTGTCTTTGGTATGTTTTATTATGTCTCTGTTTGCTTCTTTCTTTTTAATATATATATATATTAAAATATAAATATATATTTACTTATAGGTGGACACAATATCTTTATTTTATTTGAATGTGGTGCTGAGGATCCAACCCAGTGCCTCACACATGGTAGGTGAACGTTCTACCTCTGAGCCAMAACCCCAGCCTTCTGTTTGGTTCTTGAAGGCCACATTAGTATTTCTTGTTAGGGGATAATAAAAATTTGTSTTTAAAATAGTTTTAAAACACCTTAGTATAGTTATAGTTCTTCTTGGTTTTATGTGTCTTTTTTTTTGATTTGATAACAATAGCAATGTAGGAAACAGTATAGTGACTTGAGCAGCTGGCAGGTGTTCCACACAGAAATTAAGTATAGACATAMAAATCATAAATCCTAAGAGTTAATTTTGGAAGTAAGGGATCCCTAAACATTCTTGTAAAATAGAGAATAGGAGCATTGGGCAGTAAACTACATGCAGGTGTGGTAGCTCTAGTGAGTTGGTTACAGAAAGGTTAGGGGGAAAAAAAACCACCTCAAACCCTAAGTGTTTTGTACATTTGTATGATTCTAAGAGCTCTGTACCAGATGCATTGCAAAGTAATTTAATTCTAATATTTTAGTGCCCTGAAAATTTTTTCTTATTTCTTTTTTTAATATGGTAAAGTAACATAACATAAAATTGAACAGTTCAGCTATTTTAAGTATGAAGTTCAGCGGCATTAATTACATTAACATTATGCAACTATCACCCAGTCTTTTTCATCTTCTCAAACAACTCAGTAGCCATTAAATAACTCCCTATTCCTCCCTTCACTCATTCTCTGACAACCACCACTTTACTTTCTGTCTCTGTGAACTTGACTATTCTAGGTCCCACATATAATGTGGAATTGTACTGTATTTGTCCTGGCTTCCTTCACTTAAGATCTTCAAGGTTCAACCATGTTGTAGTATATGCCAAATTTCCATCCTTTTTAAGGCTGAATGGTGTCCATTTTATGTGTGTAACACATTTTGTTCATCAATTGATAGACATTAGAGTTGTGTCCACTTTGTGAATGATGCTGCATTAATATGAATGCATGAAGTCCCTGCTCTACTCAGAAATGGAATTAGTGGATCTTGTGATAATTCTGTTTGTACGTTTTTGAGAAGCTGTCATTTTGTTTCCCTTAAAAGCTATACTATTTTACATTCCCACCCTGGATGCACAAGAGTTCCAGTTTTTCCACATCCTTGYCAACACTGGCTATTTTGTGTTTGATAGTAGCCATTCTAATGTGTATGAAGTAGAATCTCACTGTGGTTTTCATTAGCATTTCCCTAAGGAATACTTGGTGATGTTGAAGTTGATGTTCTCCACTCAGCTTTCCAAGCTTTCTGTCTGCTTAATGCTTCCAAGCAGAAAACCAGAGCTCATCTGTTTATTTCTTTCACTTTCTCTCAGAGATAAGTCTTTCACTACTTGTTGTCTTATGTCTTAAAGGAGATTTTTAAAAAAAAWTTATACATTGTCTAGATTGCTAGGTGTTTATAGAGGGAGATTAAGTCCGACTCTTGTACCTTCATCAAGGAAGGAATTGGAAATCCTGTAAGATGTTTTAAGTTATATAATGTTACTGATAGATGGTATATTACTGGTAACTTATATGAGCTTTTTACAAGAAAATTATATGTAATGATTTAAAGCTATTTGAATTATCTTTTTCTTATATATAGATTAAAACTGAGAAAATAGCCCCTAGACAATTTTATGAATTTTTTGTGCTTTTTAAAAAAAATCAGATAAAAATCTTAAATTGTCAAGAAATTTGACATTAATGTATCGTTTAAATTTTTCTTTGCTCAGTAAACGGACTGTTGTGGTTGGTATTAAGCTTACTACTATATATAATTTGCCCAAAACATATAGTATTTTTTACATAATTCAGGAACTTTAGAATATGTTTTAAGGTATACATGGTATTTTTTAACTTTGTCACTCTTTTACATTATATTTTAATCATAACATTTTTCTGTAATAACAATTTAAAATGCACAAAAAAGTTTAAAATTGAGATGTGTTAAATAGCAGTTAGTGCTTAAGATACATGTTAATGTATCAAAAACAAAATGAATAGGAGGAATAGAAAACTGAAAGGAGTTTTTTGGAAGGTTCATTATGGCATTTTGGAAGGATTTTGCAATCTGAGAAATTGCTTTTGCTAGGAGAATATGTTCTTTCCATATTCATAATACATTGTTAGTTCTTTAATTCTATGAGAGTTTGGGAAATAGGGAAACTGAAATTAGTAGTTTGGAAGCTTATTTTTATTAAAGGACAATTAATCAGTTGAATATTTTTTCAAAGTATGAATTGTTTTCAGATGTTAGTAAGATAATCTTACTTTAATTGAAGAACCTTCATATTATAAACTATAATGATCTGATCTCCTTAAATAATTAGAAATCACTTTTATTAGTATGTTATTTGCTAATAAATTTTATGTCTAAAAACAATTTTGAAGATAATTTGCAGGTAATATTTCTTTGTTAGATTGTAGGCTTTAAAATGAAATTCTTGTTGCCAAACTTTATATCTTTGACTTTACTACTTGATAAGGAAAATATTTCTGAAAATTATGTGAACATGTATTTTGGTCAGGGGTAATGAAAGAAGAACCTTTGCTAGTTATTGAACTGAGGAATATAATAATATATACTATTGTTTGAAATAATTTAGAGAAGTTTTTTTCCTTTTTCTTAGAAGAATCTGCTCAACATGGTAGATTCCTAGTACATTATAAATGTTGTAAATATATKTTTATGTAGCTTCTGTTTTATGACTGATTTTTTTCCCCCACAGAGTTTATCAAAACAAAAGAGAAGCAATCTTGGAAATGAAGGTGGATCACCACCTTTTGTGCCTTTTAGACAGGTAGTGACTTTTATGTTCACCAGTGAATTTAAATCAGGAAAATGTTTTTTGTTTATATTTAAGCTGTGCTAAGTTTTTTGCTGAGGTCATGGAGTTATGGAAATATGAAGTTTGAGAAATTTATTAATTTGCTGTTAACCCAAAGATTGAAGCCATTTAAGAGCCATATCTGAAGAGTAGCTAACAACTAATTAGGATAAAGAGAAAGATTTTTTTTTTAAGAGATATTCAAAAGTAGGAAGACCAAAATACAGCATAATTTCTTTAGGCGTCTACTCTTTCTGCTTTACTCCAAATATCCATCACAATCAGAGACTTAATTTTATTGCCAGTTGGCATTCACCCACAGCAGCCCTCATTCTTCTACACAACTGAAAATTTTTCTGTCTACTTTCTATTTTTCAGTCTCCTTTGCTATAAAGTGCTACTTTGAGGTAGTTCCTCAGCTGACTAATATCTTTTGTCTTCCTCATTGTGCTCAGTATCAAACTGCATTGATATCAGTGTCCTCCAGGCTTTCCTTGCTTTATCCCTGTCAAATCTGAGGATAATCCCTATGGCAGCTAGCTCTTCTCATGATACCACCAAAATTTAACTACTGGTAATCTGCCTTGCATTTCTACTGGCTGAGAGTGCTGGCTGAGAATGAATATGAGTTCAGGACATAATATTAGGAAGCAGATACTTACATTTCCACAACAAAGTTTATTTTGTGTTTTAAAAAAATTGGTATGAAAAAAGGCATCTACTGATCAGATACATAGGATCAGTTGATGGCCTCCTCTTTAAATGGTCTACTTAAAATTAAATTAGGATTATTCTTGCATTATGGCTATTTTGGAAGTATTTTTTAAAACATACTGATCTATTCTGTATTTTGGAACGATGGATAGTCAAGATTAAAGGAGGTTTGAAGTCCTGTTGTGTCATTAATGTTGAGGATATTCTTCCAGTATAATAAAAACTTCCAGAATGAACACAAAGTGCAAACATTCTAATAACTTACATTTGAAAATAGTGACATATTTATTAGTAATTTGGTGATAATATTGCTCTTTCATAAATTTTACAAAACATAAAACTTTTTAGCCTGATTGGGGCAGAGGGTATGTTTTTAGCTTTTGTTTTAAAAGTTCAAAATGATCTTTTTATATGTTAAAATAACTATACTGCCCAATTGACATGGATATTATGACATATTATGGCATAATATGGAAACTGAGCCCTTATTTGCAAAAGCAAACTTACCTTTTCTTATGATTAGTCTAAACTGTTTGAAATCTAAAATTATTTTATGAAATTACCCCAAAATGAAACTTACACCTCTTGGTTCAATATATGTATGCCCTGAGGAGTTTCAGAGGACCACATTTTTTAGTAAGTTTTAATTTTATTTACTGATTAAATTATTAAAAAGTTACTTTAGCTGGGCATGGTGGTGCATGCTTGTAAGCCCAGTGGCTCCCAAGGCTGAGGCAGGAGGAGTACAAGTTCAAGGCCAGCCTCAGCAATTTAGCAAGGCCCTAAGCAACTTAGTGAGTGAAATCTTGTTTCAAAATAAAAAATCAAAAAGGTTGGGCATGAAGCTCAGTGGTAGAGCACTCCTGGGTTAATCCCCAGTACTCCCCCTGCCCCCCCCCCCAAATACTTTAATCAGTTTTCTACCTTTTTTTTCTTCTTATATAAGTTTTTGTGATTTTATTTTTGTGGAATCTCAGCTATTATAAAAGATACAAATATTTCTTTTGAAGAAATACTAATGAAAACTTTAATCTCTTTTGAAATTACTGAATTATTTTACTTATTTTACCAGAAATATCTATCTCATTTCAGTGGATAACTGAGAACTTGATTGGAGAAAGGTGTTGCAAGTTACAATGCTTGTTAAACCTACAAATGGTAATAATGAATTTAAAAAGCAAAGGACTGTCACTATTGCATAAGTTGCAAAGAGTAAAGAAGTAAGAAATTAAATAGTCACAGATTTCTCTTATGTATTATCATTATTTTCTATGTTCATTACTCATGGTTATTATTGCCTTTTCAGGAAAAGACAATATTCAGACAATATTTCAACTATTCAGGAAATCCTTGACAACATCCTTCTTGCATAATCCATAATGGGGTCTTAAGTGTACACATATTATTCATTTGTTCTTCTTTCCAAATCTCCTTTGCAATTCCAGGAAATTTTTTCTTGCTAGCTAATTGCCTTTATTCTCCTTCTTCCTTTTCTTCTTAACAGTGTAACAACTGACCCCAACACTTTTTCTGTAGCAGAGGATTTCTTGTTGTTGATTGGGCTAGTTACCATTTTACAGGGTAATTTTCTCATATAATAACAGCTTCTGAGAAATAGTAACTTACAAGGATAATTCAATGGATCAGCATCAACATTTTTTTCAGTTTTCTTTCTTAATTATAGAAAAAGTAATTTTTTCTTTGGGATATATATGTATTTATACAAACGCACATACACACACTCCATTTTACATTATTGTTAGCCAAGGCTTCTCTTTTAATTGTTTTGAATTTATTGCTAATTTGGAATGTGTTTTCTCTAGTTATTGGTTTTTAGCCTTGGATAAGAAATTTAAGCTTATGAGTTAGTTCTCTAGACTTTTCTTACCAGTGAGATTGAAATAGTTTCCTTTATTCAAGAACCATCATGAAGCTTAGCTAACAGCTGCTTTCCTATTTAACTTTCAAGTTTAAGTAGAAGACTTGTGGACATTTAGTTGTTCTTCCTTCAGCGTCTTTCTAGCGTCTGTCTAGAATAGGAGATGAAAGCATAAGCTTTGGAATCAGATGTCCTGGAAGCACATCTTGATGATAGTCTTGAACTAACTACTTAGCTTTTGTACCCCGACACTCTTCATCTATATGAAATTCAGGAACAATAGTGGTACCTACTTCATATGGTTACTGTGAAAATTAAAACGGACAATTTTTAAGATGTTTAGAACTACTACTATTACTGGCATAGATCATGACACTTCTTTCCTCAAAGCTCTCAATAAACATGTTTGAAAATTACAAAATAACATTTTTATTTTTTAGAGATGGACAGATTTAATAACTTCTCAACTTACATAACAGAGAGTTGGTGGAGATTTAAAACTAAATAACTAGGGAGTTGCCTAAGGTTACCCAGTAAGGATTTTAGGACTAATCCATGCATACTATAGAAGATCTGTATCATAAATAATATAAACATATAAAATAAGTAACTTGCAGGCTGCAATTTTGAGTGTAATAGTCTGATTAGGCCTCAAGTTAGTGAGATTTGAGCCAAGATTTGAAAGAGATAAGAGAATTATCTGTGCAATTACTGAGGAAGAGTGGTCCAGGGAGAGGAAAAGCCATTGCAAAGGCTATAAAGCAGAAACATATGTTCAAGGCAAGCAAGGGAGCCCATGGAATTGGCAAAGGGATATAAAGTAGAAGAGTAAAGAGAGAAGGTGATCCATCAGCTTAAATTGGTCCCTGCAAACCATTGTAAAGACCATAATCAGAGAGAATATGGGGAACCTTTATTCAGAGAAAAATGGGGAGCTTTTTGAAGGTTTTGAGCACAGCAATAGCATCAACAGACCTACATTTTAGAAGGTTAATTCTGGCTGTTCTGTTCAGACTAGGCTGTAGAGGAGGAGGATTGGAATTAGATGAGTTAGATTACTGAACTAATCCAGTTACATTTCAACTTTAGAGGGTGGATGAAAGAAGTTGAACCAGCCAAGCTGTGTTCAATAGTATGGGACAAAACCAAGAGAATGCAGAAAATGTATCATTAGTTTTTTTTTTTTTTTTTAAGTAAGAAAATGAAGCAAGATAACAGTAACAACAAAGAGAAAGGTACTGGAGGATCAAGAAGTGAGGGAAATGTATAAGATAGTAGTATAGAATGGGAGAGTAGATGGGTTAGGGAAATACACAATAAGATTGCTAGGTAGTCCCCTTGAATTTCACAGTCATGATGATTCCACATATACCTCATTCACATTGTGAACAAGAGGATGTAGTTGATAAAGGTCAATACCAGTTACATAGTGGGTAATATCTAAGTTGTGATGGTTCTAGATTTTATGATTTTTGAGTAACAATTTTAAAGAAGTGAAAAGCAATTCTGAAAGTGCTTTTATCCTCTTCCTGAATTCATAAAAAGAAAAAGCACTTTTGGAATTATGTAATATAAATTTCAGAAATATATTTCATTTGGGATAGATCAGACTCCAGACTTTTCAGGTAACTATGTTCTAGATATGATCCAAAATAGTAATTACTATCTGTTATTGAGTGTTTTCCCTGTGCCAGTTACAGAGATAATCACTTCCTATTGATGGTGTCATTTAATCCTCTCAAGGTAGTTTTTCTCATTGCTCTTTTAAGAATGGAAAACCTGAGACTCAGTGGAAGGTGAAAGTTAAGTGATTTGTCTGAGAACAGGAACTAGTAAATGGCTGAGCAAGGATTAGTACAAACCCTGTCTAGCTAGTCTAAAGTCTGGGTACTTAACTATGCTAAATTGTCTCCTATCTGATAAACTTTGTATCACATTAACATAAATCCTCATTTTTCCTTACAGTTAAACCAATAATGATTATCAAGACATTTTATTTATTATTTATTATTTATTTATTTATTTATTTATTTATTTATTTATTTGGGTCTCTCTGGATTGCTGAGGCTGCTCTTGAATTTTTGGGCTTAAGTAATTTTCTGCCTCAGCCTCTAAAGTAGCTGGGACCACAGGTGTGTACCACCATACCTGTCTTCAAATCTATTATTTTGATGAAATTCCATAAACCCCAAATTGAATGACTTCATTAATGAGTCTTTGGTCTTTGAAGATATGATTTTAATTTTGTTTTAAAGTAAATATTATGCAGCATCAATTACCCAACAGAGATAATTAATTTGTTATCTTTTAATGTTCATCTAACATGACTTTTCTATTTTTCAGGTTTCACTTTTTATGTGACTTTAAATAATTTTCCAATGTTATATACATTTATATCTAAGATGCTTTCTTACTGTAATCATTTTGAAACAGTTTTAAATATTGATCATTATCTCTAGTAAAAAATCTAACAAAGTTTTCATTTCCATTTTTTATTAAAGCTATCAAAACTATAAAATATTATCTAACCATATGTTTAAATTACTGCTGTACAAGAAGAATGCTTTTCACATATGAATTTGTATCTTTCCAATACAAAGTTCTTTGTGGTCATCTTTTCATAATAGTTTTGAAAAGACAAAAATTAGATCAAGTTTTCAAATTTATTCATATATAGTTTTAAAAATAAGTCAGACAAAATAAGAAATATAGACTTAAAAGACTTTGTATGTATGACTAATGTAAATAAAAATTAGTAGTTTTAATACAGCATTCAATTTTACATTATTTGTTTACTCTCTAAGATTAAAGAATCATAATACTAGACAATGGACATAATTTAACTGAGTCCTACACAGGTTYAGAACCTTGCTAAGGATAATCTTGCTTTGTAGATGGGTTTAAAACCTAGGTTCAATATATCGGTCATATAGTTATCCTAGAATCATTCTGATAACTAATCATTATAATCCTTATTTTGTTTCTTTTATGTTGATGTACATTTAAGTTTATTTTGATGACTTGCCTTGAAGAGACTTAAAGACTATAATCCTGTAAAGTGTGTATCGCTTGACCTGGACTTGTGAGGACAAAGGAAGGCTAGTACTTATCTGTGATCTGTGCTCTTTAAAAAGAATAAGCTATTTCATTTTTTCATCTAAAATCTAATTTAGCAACCTTTAATTTGCCGATGTCTTGGGGGGCACCAGAATCAGGAGGCACCACAGTTTTGTAGGTTCAAACAGCAATTCTTTATTCCTGATCTCACACCAGCCTCCACACACGTTCAGGGGCAATTCCAATATGTCCGATCCCAAATCCTACTCCACGAGGCTTTTTCCAAATCCCATTTTAATCTCACAAGAACTCAACGGGAACAAGCAGCAGGAACACCCTAATCCCAGCATCAATAATCTTCAACCTCAACTTCCCTAAAACTCCTATTGTCACGCCCTAAACCCAAGGACGGAGATACTTCCTGCAGGAATACACCCTAATCCTGGATCCACCCTGGTGATTGATCAGGGTCACCTTTCTCAAACACACAAGCAAGGTCGCAGCAAATTTCCAAGGCAAGTCCATTTAACATGGGGTACACTGGCAAGGATTACGATGCATCATACCTACTTGGTAATGGCCCTCAGCATTAATTACTTAATTTTTTCACATATTTTAGTAATAACTTGTTTTTTAAGGATATTTTAAAATGCTATTTACTTACATCTGTTTTATGTTTCTCTTATACTAAAGACCAAGACACTTGGAGGAGGTGGCAGTGGTGCCAGCAGTAATCTCAATAGGAGCGATGTTGGCAAATGAAACAGGAAAGTTTTACAGAAAGAAAAATGAACTAAATCAGAGGGGAAACAGGTGTCTATGGAGAGCTGGTAAGATTAAAGAATCAATCACAAAATTAATATTTGTTACAAATAGCCTCAACTTGTCTTTGAGTTTTTGGAGAGGCGCTATATAAATTGTGTTTCCTCTCTTCTATGGAGGAGTATCAAATTTTTCCATTTTTTTAACCATGAAAAACGTTTACTGGGTAATTTTCTTTTCACTATATTAGTTTAAAAGGATTTACCTAGGGGCTGGAGATGTGGCTGAAGCGGTAGCCCGCTCGCCTGGCATGCGTGGGGCGCGGGTTCCATCCTTAGCACCACATAAAAATAAAATAAAAATGTTGTTTCCACCAAAAACTAAAAAATAAATATTAAAAAAATTCTCTCTCTCTCTCTCTCTCTCTCTCTCTTTTAAAAAAGGGTTTATTATATATTCTGAGATTTTCTTTTTTAGTTTTACATTTGCACTGGAACTTGCTAAGTTAGAGAGTACTCAAGGCACAATAGATTTTCATACAGATTCTTCCTTGACTATTAGTATGAACAAATAGTAAGTGAATGTTGTATTCGTATGACTTTTTTTCCCCATAAATATGAAATGTAATTTTGAGTTAAAATACAGTAAATAGCAAAATGCATACCTCAGTTTATTTACAGATTGTCAACATAGCTTTCTATTCGTTCCTTACAGGTTGTTGAGTAGGCACTGAAGCATATAACAGAAATTGGCTTCAGTAAGGCAGCATCCAGGCAAGCGCTATATGGTTAATGGCAACAACTTAGAAGCAGCATCGAGAGTACTTCTTAACAGCAATAAACAGAAACCTGTTCTGAATGTGTCTCCAAGAGGTATAACTTATTAGGCAATGTGCCAGGTATTATTATTTACCTTTCAGAGTGATAATATATGTCATTAAAAGAGACTGAGTTTTATCACTATGAGGGCTCTAACTTTGTGTAGCATGGTAATGGTAAAGTGAGCTCGGGACCATAGAGATGTTTGCATCTCTATATAAACTATGTCTAACTCTGCCTTATTTAATAGGGTTAAGTGTGACATAAAGTGACCGGTTCTATTAATTATTTCTAGAAGTATGCCACTTTTATAAATGACTAAACAGTCTGGACAATTTTTAAAATTAATAAGAAAACACATTTTATTTGGTGTTATTTTTAAATTATTTCATGGCAAAAGGTATTATGTGATTTTTCAAGTCCCATTCTTAATATCTTTTTAAAAAATGTTGTGGTTACAATGGAATTTCACTCAGGTATAAAGAATAATGAAGTCATATTATTTGCTGATAAGTGAATGTAATTAAAGAACATTATGCTAAGTAAAATAAGCTACTCAAAAAACCAAGGGTTGAATGTTTTCTCTCAGGTGGAAGGTAGACAGTGGTGGCAGGGGAGAGAGAAATAATTTTATTATTTTTAAATTTTTTTAATTTTAAAAAGCAGGGGAAATTTCATTAAAAGAGACAGGAGATCAATAGAATAGAAGGGGATCAAGAGGGTGGGAGGAAGGAAGGACATAGGGAAGTGCTCGGAAATGAAATCTACCAAACTATGCTGTGCCTATGCATGAATTTACCACAGTGAATCCCACATTTTATAATTATGTATATATATATAATTATACATGTATATAAATTATTAATTATATATATATATATATATAATTATACATGTATATAAATTACCTATAATTATAATGCAGTAATTAAAATAACAATAACAGGCCAGATTTGGTGGTGCACACCTGTAATGATAGCAGCTCAGGAGGCTAAGGCAGGAGTTTCCTGAGTTCAAAGCCAGCCTCAACAAAAGTGAGGTGCTAAGCAACTCAATGAAACCCTGTCTCTAAATATAATACAAAATAGGGCTGGGGATGTGGCTCAGTACTCGAGTGCCCCTGAGTTCAATCCCTGGTACCAAAAAGAAAAAGAAAAAGAGACCAATAACAGGAGAGAAATAAGCAGAATAGAGCAAGCAGGTCTGGGGATGGAGGAGAGGAAGGAAAGGAAAGGTACTGGGAAATGAGATTGATCAAATTATGTGGGTGTGTGAATATAACACAAAGAATCCCATTATTATTTATAATTACAGTGTATCAACTAAAATAAAAAAAAATAAAATTCCATTATTAAAGAAAATAGTAAGATGGGTTTTTCCTTAGAATATAATTTACATAAGCAAATTCAAATTTCTAGTAAGCTCATTTAGAGGATTAATTCATTAATTCTCAAGTTTTTAATTCTATGAGCATAATAATTGTTTCAAAGTAAGTAGTATATTTGTTGCTCAGTTTAAGTTTGTATTGGATGTTCCACATCTGGGAAAATGGCACCAAATGGACTGAAAGTACTATTTAATATAAAAGCTTTTTTATTATTAAAAATAATAAAAAAGAGAAATAAATATAAAAAAGAAATAAATATAAAATCCTGCTTAAAATGAACACTGATTATATTTCAATGATTTTCTCCTTCCATTTTATATATATGATATATAAATATACACAGACATATATACATGCACATACATACACACATGTGTGTATGTCTGCATGTCTTACTTTTAAGTCTTACGATAGAGGAAAAGGAAGAGATATGGAGTAAGATGTGAAGATGAAGAAGACCTGGAAAATACAAGGCCGTGAGCACCAAGCACATTATTTGATTTCCTGGAATCTAAAATGGTGGACTTTGGATGTAGAAGGTAGGCTAACTTAAAGTAGATTCCTTTTTTAAAAATAGATTTCTTTTTAAAGATAATACTTTATTTAGAATTATACAAAAATATTTAATAAAGCAGCTGATGATATGAACTTCTATTCTGAGTGTTTAAAAACTTATTTAGTGAATTTTCTATTTGACCAAAGCACAGAAGAATGCCCCCTGATTGTATGGTGAGTAATTCCACCAAATAACTTCTCCCAACTTTACTCCTAATAAGTGGCAGATTTAGCTGTGTAGATAAATCATTTTTTTTAGAAAGCTCATTAAATAATCTTACATAACTTATTTTGATTGTAAGATTGGTCTCTATTCTATCTTTACATATTATATGTTGTATAAAAATGTTCACACAGTGAGAAAATATAATGTATTTCTTAATGTGATATACTTCAGTGAGTAACATAAATACTGAAAAAGTAAGTATGTTACTATATGGCTTTTTCCTAAGAATGGATTATGGTAAGTGTTTTCTAAAGAGTAAGTTTTAAAAATATGATTCCAAAAGACTAAGTAAATATACGTTTAAATTCATTTTTCACTTTAAGTTATATTTTAAATTCAGCCAAATAAGTTTGGAGATTATATGCTTTTTCTTTTTCTTTTTTAATTWATTTTTTAGTTGTAGTTGGACACAATACCTTTATTTTACTTATTTATTTTTATGTGGTGCTGAGGATTGAACCCAGGGCTTTGCCCCTGCTAGGTAAGCACTCTACTGCTGAGCCACAACCCCAACCCCTCTTTTCTTTTTTTTTTTTTTGGCCTTTGTTTTCCCCAGTTTATTGCTATTACATTATACCTGTCTTACCCTATCAGATTTCTCCACAACTCTCTAATCCTCATCAAACCTACTATAAAAAATATTCAGGTTTAACTGTTTCTTCAGGTCTTCATTTCCTTATACATACTCCAATGTCAGGCAAAAYTTATATTATGCACACTTTTCTGTATCTTTCTTTTTTATTAATTAATTAATTTATTTTAATTAGGTATATATGACAGCAGAATGCATTTTGATTCATTGTACACAGCAGCACAACTTTGCATTTCTCTGGTTGTACAGGATGTAGCATTGCACCATATGTGCAGTCATACATGTACCTAGGATAATGATGCCCATCTCATTCAACYGTATTTCCTGTCCCCATGCCTCTTCCCCTTTGCCCAAAGTTCCTCCATTATTCCCAGACCTGTCCCTCCCACCCCCTGTGGCGCCCCTGCCCTTTATGGATCAGYATCCACTTATCAGAGAGAACATTCAGCCTTTGGCTTTTTGGGATTGGCTTACTTTGCTTAGCATGATGTTCTTCAACTCCATCCATTTACCTGCAAATGCCATAATTTTATTCTCTTTTAATGCTGAGTAACATTCCATTGTGTATATTAAAAAAAGATTTGAAGTATTCAGATTTCATGAAAATGCAAGCTTTTTTGCTTGATTATATTTAAAAAGCTACATATTGTTTGAGGAAAAAATCTTTAATATAGATATAAAAATATATATTAACTCTATATAAAAATCTTAAATCTTATTTTGTGTGTGTGTGTGTGTGTGTGTGTCGTTCTGGGGATTGAATTTAGGGCCTTGTGCGTGAAAGGCAAGCACTCTACCAACTGAGCTATATCCTCAGGCCCAAAATCTTAAATCTTCAATATTTTTAATATAAAAATCTTCAATACAGAATTATAAGCAGTAACATGGAAGAACAATATTTTCTTCGTTGTAAAGCACAAAACATTAGTTTTCTATTGCTGTATAATTAATTGCCCCAGTCAGCTTCTTAAAAAATGCAAATTTATTTTGTAGTTTCTGGATATCAAGATTATAGTCTAGCCTGAGGCCCAAGGTCCTCTTACAGGATCACTAATTTTTAGCAGAATTCAAATCCTTGTGGATAGTACTGAATACCGTTTTCTTGCTTAATCCTGGCCGTAGACTGCCTTCAGCTCCAATAAGCTGTCTCTCAGGTTGTTGCCACGTGGATCACACTTAGGCCATAGTCATGTTTTAGCTTTTGAAAGGCCAGCAGGAGAATCTCTGTTGTGACTTCCTACGTCTCTCACTTCTTCCTGACTATGACTTCTTGGTATTCTTGTTCCAACTCCTTTTTACACTGTCTGACCCACATCTCCTTTGATTTCCTTTCATCTCCCTGACCCCTTACCTTTCCTTTTGACGGTTAGTGTCTCCTAAATCATAATGAATTCAAACTTGATGATAGTAACTCATCTATGATTTGATGTAGTGGTTTTGAATGGCTAGTTTACAAATACACCAAACCACATTTGATTATTCTATTTAAAATAAATTCTACTATTTGGGCTGGAGTTGTGGCTCAGTGGCAGAGCACTTGCCTAGCACAAGTGAGACACTGGGTTCGATCCTCAGCACCACATAAAAATAAACAAATAAAATAAAGGCATTGTGTCAATCTACAACTCCAAAAATATTTAAAAAATAACTTCTACTATGCTCTTATATATTTTTCTTCCTTTTATAGTTTATACTAGTAAAGAATAAATAAACGTCCTTTTTAATAAATATCTCTATGTCCCTTTAGTTTGTGATTTGTTTTATCTCACAAACTAGACACTAGGTTTCCTGGCATATATTTGTAACTTATAATAATATTTAGTCCTTCATTTCAAAAGTTTCTTAACAAAATAAGATTAGGTAGGGTTTTTTTTTTTTTGAATGCTTAGGAAATACTTCAATCAAGCACTATTGAAAACTGCTTGGTTTGCACTTTCATTGTTTTTAAATATTTGTCTGGCCTAGAACTAATACTATCAGTAGCAGTTTTTCTGCCCTAAATACTTTTTAATGATGACATCACATGGAAGAGATTCATTACAACTCAGAAGTACAAATAGCTATAATATATCTATATTTATATATATATAGAGAGAAGACAGTTGTGCTTGTAGATAATTTTTATGTTCTCTTGGTCCAGGCTTTGTTGGCCCAATAAAAGTAACAGTATTGATAGGAAAATTTTGCATATGGTCACCCTTGATGTGTCTTTGCCAGACTTCATTCTGTTGCTCTTTCTTTTGCTAACCTACTTATATATTTCAGCTTTGTAAATACATAGAAATGTAGTTAATAATTTAAGTGCCATATTAATTGCTTGGGAATTTGTGAGTTCTAAGGTGCATATTTTAGAAATCTTAATTATTCTGAATGCATTATAAATGTTGATGCTTTCTTAGACTAGTAATATATTGAGCACTGCTATAAACATGTTTAGCATTAACTAGAGGCTACTCCAAAGGACTTACTTTTTTGAGAATTAGTCTCTATAAAGTGTCACGAAAAGAGATTGTGTAGGTGATTCTTCTTTTTTACATTACTGGGAATCAAACTAGGGGTGTTGTACCCCTGAGCTACATCCCCATCTAGTGTGTGTGTGTGTGTGTGTGTGKGKGWGWGWGAGAGAGAGAGAGAGAGAGAGAGAGAGAGAGAGAGAGAGAGAGAGAATGAATCTTGCTAAGTTGCGGAGGCTGCCCTTGAACTTAAAGATCCTCTTGCCTCAGCCTCCCAAGTCACCRGGATTACAGGTGCACATCACTATGCCCAATTTGTGTAGGTTCTTTTGAGTTCTTTTGGGATCACAGTTTTATTAGAATGTTGTTAGAGGCACTCTTAAATTCAAATGATCCAGCTATACTTTGTTTTGAATTTTTGAAATTTTCTGGGTAGATGCCATATCTGATTTGTGTAGTGATTACATATTAACTCTACATTATGTTATATGACATACATTAAGGCATATGCTATATAATTAGTTTTTTTGGTATTTAGTTTTGTGTAAGATGGGTGTTGCTCTTCTCAGAATACTAGAATGCATGAGCCTCTTTTTCAGTTTTACCATTCTTCTATCCCCCCAATTAATTTCCCTATCCATTCCTTAAACATTTACTAACCMTAAAATAATAATTGCMGTTTATTGAGCATATACTATGTGTCAGGAACTGAGGTAGGTGCTTTGTATACTCTTAATTCATTTAATCATGTGCAAATGTAAAATATATATTACTTCCATTTGCAAACAGGCTTGAAGAAATAAAATATATTGCCTATAAAAAGTCAAGAACTGGGATTTGGAAACTTGTCTGATTTGTTCCCAACTCAGAAGTCATTCTTCATGCTGCATGTCTAAGCACTTATTTATTTTGGGAGGAAAGAGTTCAGTTTTAAAACAAGCTAAGTTTCAAAGATCAAGGAGTGTTATCAAGCAGACAGTTGAATTTAGAGATCAAATGAAGGTGTAAGAGTCAGCACAGGAGATGAGAAAGCATCTCATGAGAAGGAGGAGTATGAAGAGAATGCTGAGAGATAAGGATGGAAAGTATTCACTGGGTTCCTAGATACCAACAGTGTGCTGGTGCATGTGTCACAGCTGGCTCTTAGARAAGACATAGAAGTGAAAAGCAGGAGATGCCTGACTTTTAGCTTTTGCTGATTTCTGTGGCATAAGTATTCCCACCATGGCTGATTTCAGGTTATCTATAATTTAACAGCCATTTTACACATTTTCTTGTAAGATGTTCAAGTTGGGTATAGTACACCACTGAATACAGACTTAGAAAAACAGTGAAATAGTATAGTTGAGGACAAGCTGAAGAATCTCTGTAGATGAAGTGCAATATAAACATGGAGATGGTTATTTTGAAAAGAATAGTCAAGAATGACATTTAGTAAGCATGATAGTTTCATTGTATAGGTTTGGACAGATGGGTTATTGCCTCCACCAAAATATTTTTTAAATATTTTATTTTATTTTTATAATACATGGAAAACATTATCATCTAATTACCACTTGTGTACATGTACTTGTTAGAAATGGGAAATAGTTCCTGGTCTGTATACTTTCTAATCTCAGARTCATATAGAATATTTTTATAGAGCAAACTAATATAAATTTTGAGCTACCTAAATTTTTAGAGATAAAGTATGCTGTAATCATGATAGATAAT